GTGTCCCAGTCTGAATCGGTCACAATACCCACAGCAGCCAGCAGCCACAGCAGGGGAATCCCACATGCCTCCAGTGTGATACTCCTCATAAGTTTATTCAGCCATTCAACAGGTTAACTGAGCACCTACCCTGTGCTGGACCCCTAAGATCCTGTCCTGCTTTGCCCACAGTCCTTCAAGGTTCCTACCTCCCTCCGGGTACAAACCCAAATCCTCCCATGTCCACAGGGCCATGAACCACCTGCCCTCACCTCCTCCGTCTCCCCCCATCACTCTGCTCCGGCCACATGAGCCTCCCAGCTGCTCCTCCAACAGGCCAGGCATGGTCCTGCCCCAGGACCTTTACATATGCTCCACCTCCACTGGGAATGCTCTTCCCCTAGCTCTCTCCATTGCTCCCTCACTCACCTTCCTGTGAGCCTTCTCCTGACCTGTCTAAAGGGTCAAAGTATCCTTACTACCTCGTACACATAGATATATACACACACACATATGCACACACACACACAAGCCCTTTCTCCTATTGTATGTTTTTTGACACCTTTTATCAATATATGGCATCCTGCATTTTCTGCTCATTTTTCCCATTGTCTGTATCCCCTACTCTTGGCTTCACTGAGAAAGGAATATGTCTTGTTCGTGGCTATGTCCCCAGTGGCTAAAACAGTGCCCAGCGCAGAGTAGGTATTCAACACATACATTCTGGATGGATGGATGGATGGATGGATGGATGGATGGATGGATGGATGAAACCATAGTGCCCAGCACAGAGCAGGTACACAATAACTACTTGCTGAATGAACAAATGAAAACATTTAACTTGGGGTTGAGGACACAGTAGGTGCTCAGTTCGTGTCAGACATTATTAATTTAACAAACATGTCTAATGTGGGACAGGCACTGTCCACATCATGAAGCCCCCAGCAACCTCTCACTAAAGAAGCACAAATTCCTTCTCCAGCAGGGCACCCTGAAATTCATGTTAATGCACATGGGGTCATCAGGGGTGGGGATGGAGCAAGGGAGCTCCCAGGGGACTGGAAGGGGGGGCAGGTAGGGTGCGGTGGGAGGCCAGAGAGGCCACTGGATTTGAAAGACATTTCATGGTAGGATGGACAAATCCCCTCCTGGATCCTCAGTCTCCCCATCTGTACCACAAGGAATGGAGCACCCCTTCCCTTTGCCAGGGAGCACCTTCCCCTCTCTACCTCCCAGTCCTGTAATTTATAAAATCCAGGACTCACCAACGTGCACTCTGATCACTCTCCATGGCAACTCCCAGGATGTGGCTCTCACCCCCTATACAGTTGAGGAAACTGACACGCAGACATTCAGAAGCTCACCCAGAGTGGGGAGGGGACCAAGACAGACCCTGACCCCGCTCCTACCCACTGGGATACCCTTTGATTTGCCCAAGTGGCCCAGGATGGGGCTTCAGCGGTTCTGGTCCTACCCCATGGTCTAAACGGAGAGACGGGCAGAAGAGGGAGCCTGGGGCAGGAGAAAAACCATCACCTTGTTTTCCAGTCCTGCACAGGCTGACCTCCCCGGAGCCCCCTGTCACGACCTCTGCCAAGGCCACCCCAGAGCTGAGCTCCACCCACAGCTCCGAGAGTCCAGGACCCCCACCAGGGAACAGCTCCACCAGGCCCTGCCACCCTGAGATCCGCCAGTCACCAGTAGCAGGGGGTCTGGAGCTATTTTGTGAGGCTGTCTGTGACCCCGGTGTGGCAGTGGGCTGGACCCAGGCCCCCGGGGGTCTGGAAGCCTACCAAAGGTGGGAGGCTGGGGCCCAGGCTTGGCTGAGCGTGCCCTGGGCCAGCTGCAGCCCTGAAGGCTGGTTTCGGTGTCGCCTGGACCCAGGGGGACAGATGGCCAGCCTGTACCTGGTCCCGGAAATCTGTGAGTTCTGGGGGCTAGGGAGGGGTCCGGGGGAACCTCAGAGGGAGGGAAGCCTGGCATCAAGACCTCAGACAAGGGATGGGCCTGCCCAGCTTCAGTCTCCCCAGTTGTCCAGTGGGCTTCCCTAACGGTGGAAGATTCCAGTTACTTGGCACTGTGAGGACTGCCAATTTCAGAAACTCTAGATTTCACAGCACTCCGTAAACTCTAACCTGTACAACCCACAACAGCCTGTAGGATAGAAATAGAATAGAGCCACTTAGGTAGTTTCAAATTTTCCAGTAGCCACATTTAGAAATATAAATGAGACATTTTACATTCTTTTCTTTTTTTTTTTTTAAACTAAGTCTTCAAAATGTGTGTAATTACACTAACAGCATGTTGCATTCGGATGAGCCATATTTCAAACAGGCGTGGTGGGCAGCCAACTCACTTCCAACCATAAGGTCCTATGTGCCTTTCAAAAGATCCACTCCAGAAGTCCTTTGGATATTTCAGCAGTTTTTATACACTTCAAAAGACACTCTAAACCATGAAGTCCTTTGCAAAATCTCAGGGAACTCAGTAACTGTGGAAGCCCCTAGCAGATTCTTGTGAGCTTCTCCCCCACACCTGCAAAGAGGTGCTCAGAACTCCTGACGCTTCCTTCTCCAGGCTCCCAGACAACACCCCCAGCCCTGTGGATGGGCAGCTTGGTGCTGGGGCTGCTCTTCTCGGTGTTCCTCACCTATCGCCTGTGGAAACACTGCAGGCCCACCCAGTGACAACCAAGCCCACCGGCTCCTCTGGGCCCCCTGCCCCACCTGGACGGATTGAGGGGGACTGGCCTGCCTTTCCTTCCACACAGTTGCAACCAGAGGACAACTGCAGGGTTCTGGACCTACATGGTTGAGAGCTGACCATTAGCCCCTTACCCTGATGGCCAGCATCTGAGTTTCCCCTCAGTGGAGCCCCTGAGGACCCCCCCCCCCAGCAATGGTCCAGAGCTGGAGAATAAAGAGCATCTGGTCTGACCTCAGTGGTTTCTGTGGTGTTACAAGGATGCTGGAATCTTCCATACAGCTCCAGCTACCCTCTGCACTGGGAGACTCCCCCAAGAGATGAGGATGGACAGGACCCCCAACCCCTACTTGGCCAGGTCTGGGGAAAGGGAGCAACAGGGAGCGTGGGTTCTGCCTGCGGTGGGGAGAACACAGCTTGTACCTTTCCCCGGATGGGGGGACACCTAAGGAATAACTAGAAGTCCTCAAAAGAAATGGGGAAAGTTGAGGGGGTGGACAGTGTGGACAAGACACAGAAGTGGCTTGTTAAAGGAAATTTTCTCTCTCTTGGGGTGGCTTGGGAGCTAAGTCGGTCGGGTGGGGGAGAGGCGAGGAGGAGTCTGGGAATCAGATCAGCAGATGAAAGCTGGGGATTCCGCTGCGGGCACTGGGGAGCTATGGGAGAGTTCAGAGCTGCAGAGGCTGTGGTGAGAAAGATCCCTCTGGTGGTGAGGAAAGGTAACAGCATGGGGCGGGGAACTGGGGACCTCAGGTGGTCCACTCATTCGGCGAGCCATGAGAACCCAGAGCAGACCCCCTAACTCAGCCTGGCGGGTGGCTGGCGGGGGAAAGGAGACCTCTCCCCACGGGGTGATCCATAAACTCAGACGGAGACCGCACCGGGCTGAAGGCCAGACTGAGCACAAAGGCTCAGAGGAAAATCAGAAAGCGGGGCAGGGTCGGCGCTCAGTCCCGGAGTTGGAACCATCCCTGCGCATGCTCCGCCTGGCTACCCAGATAACCAAGGAGACTGGTTGCTAGGGGACCATGCTAATGAAGGACTCGCCCACTACAATCCGGCTTCAGGCCAAACACCATGCCCTTCCTAGAGAGCCGTTTTGGAGTCTGGCAAAATTCAGGTTCCGGGCCTAAGCTCGGAAAGCTAACCAGCACACGCAAAGAGGAACCGGAGGAAGAATGCCGATGAGAGCCTGGGGGGGGGGGGGGGGGCGGGGGTAGCCTGGTCTGGTTATTTGTCAGAGTCTCCAGCGGAATCCGGGCGCCCCCTGCCCTTAACCAAGATGGCCGCCCCGAGGCGCCAGCGCACTGTGGAATACGGCGGCGCTTCCGGTCCCGTTGCCCGCAACGAAGATGGCGGCAGTGGAGAAGCGGCGGCCGGCCGTGGCTCCGGCGGCCAGTTTTGTCGACAGCGGGCGGCCGGCGGTGTCCCGAGCAGCAGCAACGGCCGAGAGTGAGGAGGACTTCCTGCGGCAGGTCGGCGTGACGGAGATGCTGCGCGCGGCCCTGCTGAAGGTGCTGGAGGCGCGGCCCGAGGAGCCGATCGCCTTCCTGGCGCACTACTTCGAGAACATGGGCTTGCGCTCGCCTGCAAACGGCGGCGCCGGGGAGCCCCCAGGCCAGCTCCTGCTGCAGCAGCAGCGCCTGGGCCGCGCGCTGTGGCACCTTCGCCTGGCTCACCACTCCCAGAGGTGCGGGGCTGGGCCGGGCCGGGGCGGGGCGGGGCCGCTGCGGGCCTGGAGCCCCGGCGTGCTGCCCGCGGGCACGCTGGGCACTGTAGTCCGCACGCCTCCTGGCGCGGGGTGGACCCAGAGCGCGGGGGGCCGGTCTTTTGTGATGCCTTTCTGCAGGTGCTCAGTGCCCGCTTGCAGCCCTCCCCACTTTTAAAAATCGCGGAGCCCAGAGAGGACCCAAAGTCACAGAGCTAGTCCTCCGAGCCAGGTCCTTCCAAACTAGGTTTTTCTTTAAATGCCTTGTTACTGGCGGCGTTGCGATCCCATCCATTGAGCCAGAAAGTGGATATTTACAGGGCTGAGAACAGCTCAGTCACCCGAGGCCCGTACCCCCGGAGGCAGCGCCCAGCGGGCAGGAGGGGTGTCCAGAAAGAGGCCTGCTTCACGCACAGGAAAAGGGGCTGCAGGCACGAGGCGGGCAGGTGCACTGGCCTGGAGGCCATAAAGCTGCCGTGTGGGACCCACAGGCTCCTCAGCCTTTCTGTGGCTGAAGCACGGTGGGGGGGTGGGGGGGATGGAGCCTGCCCCCCTACACGTGCCCCCCCAACAGTTCTGAGCCCACGAAAGGTGATTGAGGAATATGTATTGAATGAATGGTCCACATGAGATGGATTGAGGAGCTTTCTGACATGCAACATCAACCAGGTGAGGTCATGACTGGATGTGGGTGGGCTGGGCCTTGGCTGGTGGGGAGGGGTCCCTAGAAGCAGAACCTGAGGCAAGCATTCATGCGTGGGTAATGTTATAAGGGAGTGCTCCCAGGAGAACCCAGGAAGGGAGAGGAAACCAAGCAAGGGAACATTCCAGCCTGATCACCAGGCGATTCCCCGCTGTGCTTCCAGCACCTGCCCACCTTTCGGCAGCCCTCCCAGGAGAGTCAGAGTACAGACCATAAGGACAGCACTGGGAAGCTGGGGAGGGGTCTCAGGTATGGGAAGGGGTGTGGAGGGTGGGAATCTGAGCAGAGCATCCATGTGCGCTGAAGGTCGCGCTGCTGGGTTTGCAGGGGCAAGGGTGGGAAAGAAGTATGCAGAGACAGTCCTAGGTCGTCCATGGGGCTGCCCACTGAGATGGGAGGTCACTGATATGGAGGAAGTGTCCAGGGTTGCTTGGGGACTCTTAAGTCGGGCAGCTGGGAGAACCCTGCAGCTGGAGGGTGGACAGGTGGCTCTGCAAGTGGGACAGGAGGTTGTCCGCCAGAAGGGGTTGTGAAGGCCTCAGGAGAACCAAGAAAAGCCTGGGACCCAACCCTGAGGAGCCCCAGCCTCAGAGAACCCACAAGAAAAGCACGATCAGGCCAACCAGACATGAAGGAGGGAACTAGAAGAGAATGGCGTCGTGGAACATCTTCCAAAGGGGAAAAGTCGTCAGTGGCTGGGCCACCATGTACGGTTGTTCAGGCCAAGCACTGCACAAGCCACTCACCTATAGACAGTCACAAATGAGGATATGTCTATGAAGGCTTTTTGCAGTTTCTTCCTAATCCACGCAGAGGCACCCTGTGGTGGGCTGGCGGCAGTCCCGTATCCAGTGGCCCATAGACGAGGGCCGACAAGTGCCTGTTGGATTTAGGGCCAGGAGAGCTGTATTCATGTCCTGTGGCGGCTGTAACAAATTACCACGAGCTTGGTGGCTTAAAACAACAGAAATGTGGGGCACCTGGCTGACTGGGTCGGTAGAGGGTGTGACTCTTGATCTCAGGGTTTTAAGTTCAAGCCCCACGTTGTGTGTAGAAATTACTTAAAAATCTTTAAAAAGGTGGGGGGGGAGAAATTTATTCTCTCACAGTTCTGGAGGCTGAAAGTCTGAGATCAAGCTGTCACAAGGCTGCCCTCCCTCCGGGGGCTCCAGGGGAGGGTCCCTCCTGCCTCTCCCAGCTCCTGGGGTCTCCAGGTGTCCCTCGGCATGTGGCCGCATCCCTCCAGTGCCTGCCTGTGTCCTCCTCTGTGTCTCTGTGTCTTTTTCTTTCTGTTTTAAGGACCCTTGGATTTAGGGTTACCTCATCTCATCTCCAGATCCTGAACAAATTACATCTGCAAAGACCCTATTTCCAAATAAGGTCACCCTCACAGGTTCCAGATAGACATGCATTTTGGGGGGACTCGGCTCACTGCACTGCAGGGGTGTTGGAGCCGTGGGTTGGAGGCACTTCGGAGCTGGAGGGGCACAGAGGGCGGAGTGAATAGGGGAGTGGCGGGCGCCACCTGCCCCCCCCAGAGACGGAGCCAGTGGCTAGCTCAGAAGACAGGGTCCCCATCAGGAGCCCCTGAACCTAGCCTGGGGGGCCAAAAGCAGAAGCCAGGCCAGGCAAGTGCCAGTGTGGAAAGCAGGTGCCCCGTCTGACGAGGAGGGGCTGACTGGGCCACCTGGGAGCTGTTCTTGAGGGCCTCATCAGCATGAAAGATCTGGGGAGAAGTCATCCAAAATTCCTTTTCCTCTGTTTTGTGCGGATCGCAAGTGTTGGTCTCCGGGAGGGACTGGAGATGGTGGCCGCAGGTGCAATCGACCACCCCCCTGCCAGCCTCAAGGCCCCAAGGGCATAAAAACCATGTTTGTGAGACTTGCTGAGGGCTGCATGGTCACTAAGGGGCGGGTACAGAGTCCAGTCTGGACAGTGTGGCCCCCTCACCCCCAAGGCCTCTGAGCCACCACAATGCTAGTAGTAACAGCCAGGGTGCCCTTCCTGCAGGCCCCCCTGACCTGGGAAAACCTTCGAAAGGGCACCCCCAAGTCCAGGTTCCTCAGCTCAGTCTGGGCCAGGCCCTCCTGAGCACTGTGGGGTGTTGAGCAGCCTTCCTGGCCCCCACCTCCCCCCAAGTGATAACACCCAAAAGTGCCCCCAGATCTCACCAGGAGTCACCCCCATGGAGAACCCCTGGGCTAAAGTGAAACGTTTCCGTGTCTCACTCCAGAAATAGTCGACACACTCTCACGTAGGTATTATCTAAGCAAATGCTCACTCTAGTGCTCTGGGTGGGAGCTGATACGGTGGGGCCCTCAGTGGAGCCCCAGTCCCCGCGTCACAAATGGGGAAGCCAAGTCCCAGAGCCCGGCGATCCCGCGGACAGAGCAGGTGCTCCCTGGTGGCCGCCGGGAACTGTGTGGGGGTCCCCGGGGAGCTGCAGACCCGCGGCCAGCAGCCTAGAGGTTGGGTGTCACCTTCCTCAGCGTCTTTCCCATCAGCTCAGATCTCGTAGGGCTGTGATTACCCCTCTGCGTGTCTTCCTGCCTCATGAGGCCAGGAGTGTAAGGCAAACAGCGTATGGGTAGCCCACTGAGTCCCGCCCTGGTCACAGCCTACGCTGAGTGCAGGAGGGACCCCTCCACGTGCCAGGCCCTGTTTTAAGTACTTGGCTCATGAGAACCCTGAGAGGCAGGGATGGGGACCCTCGCTCTCCAGTGACCAGAACCCGAGCGTCGGTCCAGGTGGGGTCCAGGGACAGAGCTGTGCTCCCAGAAGGCACTCGGTGAACATGGGAACCAAACGGCACGGGGGTCTTGCCCGCCAGGCCCCAGCCTCTAGAGAGGAGGGAATTCGCTCACCTGGAGGGCAGACCAGGCTGCTGGAGAAGAGGCATCGCGGCCCAGAGTTGGATGAATTGTGGACCATGTTTGTATCGGGACAAGCTGTGTCACGTGGCAGTAACAGCTCTGAGACCTCGGTGGCCCCAACACAAAGGACTGCTTCCCGCAGCACGAGGCGGAGGCCCAGGGGACTGCCCTCACACACGCACTGGGAGTTTACCCAAGCACGGCAACGGGGAGTGGACCCCAGGGACTCACTGTAGCTCTCACAACTTGCCTCGGAAGTGGACCACGTGTGGCTTCCATGCCCATCTCTTGGCGGAACAAAGTCCTGTGGTTCATCCTCACTTCAGAGGGGGGGCCAGCCTTCAGGAGGCCCGCCAGTCCTCACCTCCCACATCAGATGGGGCCGGCCTGCACCCCCATTGGGTATGGTCGCGTGGCGGGCAACGGCCTCTGTGTCCCCTCCTGGTGCACGGCCATCGTGTGGGGAGGGCTCTGGAGACGCCGTGGGCTGGGGACCGAGGCCCAGGCGTGTGTGCCTTCAGAGGGCGGGCAGACCCTGAGCCACTGCCTCGGTGGTCCAGCAACATCTGCTGCCATCTCAGGCTGCTGGGTTTGGGTGATTTGTTACGCAGGATGGCTAGTTGGCAGAGCACTAGTGACCAGCACGTGTGTTCACAGCGGACCTCCCCCCTTCCTGGTGAAGGGAATTAACGTTCAGAGTTCCTGCAGAGAGTTGGTTTGAGGCATCAGCCAGCTAATGCATTAGGTGACGGGGGAGATAGCGGGAGGGAGCGCCCGAGGAGCTTCCCAGCACTGGTCTCACTTACACCAGTCCCAGCACGTCGCAAGGGCCCAACGAATGAGAAGGAAAAGGGGTTTATAGCCGGACGGACTGAGAACTGAGTCCCAGCTGGGAGGGAGACCCCCACAGCCTGCTGTTCTTGTACCTCTGGGCCACAGTTTCCTCCTCTGATGCACGGAGCTCGCTGGGTCAGCACATGCATCGTAAGCCCCGCATGGGGCAGCGGCGCTGGCCAGAGTGGCCGGCCTGTCCTGGGCATCTACAGTGTGCTAGCCGGTGTGTACTAGCCTGGGCTCAACTGCTTGCTGGCCCACGGAAAGGTGAGACAGTGTGCCCAGGTCCCACGGGAGGTGAATGGAGCCACATGTGCCTTCCCTTACCATGGAGCCGAGCTCCCAGAAAGGGTTGGCTCACCCCCTCCTCCCTGGGACCCTCGGCCCAACCGTGAGCCCCCAACGAGCCTCACTACCTTTTGGTCATGGTGGAAATGCCAAAGGACCACCAGCCATGCTAGTGCTGGGCTACAGGCCAGGCTAACCAGCCCCCCAGGCTCACCCTGCAGCCCTCTTAACCACCACGCTCCCCAAATCTGCTCATGAAGCTCACAGCACAGCCAGGCCACATAGTAGAGCCTCGGGCTCTTCTGGGGCAAAGAATCATGCCCGCCTCAAAGCAGATAGCAAGGAAGGCAGACTTTCCCATGTAAGAACAGGTCGTATTTTCAGTTTTGTGGGTCAATCCGTGTTGCAACCATTCAGCTCTGCCTTTGCAGCAGGAAAGCAACCCCAAGTGGCATGTCAGTGGTTGGATGAGACCATGTGCCAGTAAAACTTTATTTACAAACTAGGCGGTGGGCCGGATATGACCCATGGGCGTAGTTTGCTGACTCAGCCAGTGTGAAACAAGTTAATGCACATTAAATGCCAGGAGTGACCACCCCGTAGTGTGAGTGGCATGGTTGGGGGGCAGTGGGAGAGCCCCGCGGGGCAATGCCCACTAGCCAGCTCAGCAGATGTTCATAGAGCACCTGCCGTGTGCAGGCCATGTTCTAGGCACTGGGGGCTGTGCATAAACTCCCTGATGTGTGCTCCTGGGCTGACGTTCCGAAGGACATGAAACTTCATCCTGAGAACATCTTACACTAAGATGGTGGTAACTGCCGTGAAGAAAAAGAGAGGAGGCGGCGGGGGGGGCACTGAAAAGGTGACACTTGAGCAAAGACTGGGAGGAGCTGGAGGAGCCATGGGGAGACCTGGGGGAAGGGCACTCCAGGCAAAGGACACCGCCTGTGCAAAGGCCCTGGGGCTGGCAGGCGGGCAAGGGGGCCGTGGGCTGTGCGGGGCTCTGCCCAGCTGGCCCAACACTCCCGTCCTCCTACAGGACGGCCTTCAACAACAACGTCAGCGTGGCCTACGAGTGCCTGAGCGCCAGTGGGCGCAAGAAGAAGCCAGGGCTGGATGGGCGCACCTACAGCGAGCTGCTCAAACGCATCTGCCGGGACGGGGAAGCCCCCGAGGAGGTCGTGGCGCCCCTGCTGCACAAGATCCAGTGCCGGGACCACGAGGCTGTGCCGCTGGACGTCTTCCGCGCCGGCATGCTCACCTGCTTCGTGCTGCTGGAGTTCGTGGCGCGGGCCAGCGCCCTCTACCGGCTGCTGGAGGACCCCGCCCTGGCTGTGGCGGACCGACGCGTGGGCCAGGCCGTGCTGGACACCCTGGAGGGGGCCCTGCAGGCCAGCGATGGAGGTGCTGTGCCCGCCCGCTACCTGGAGGCCGGCTCGCGCCTGGGCCCCGACAGCCTGGCACTGGCCATGGACCGCGCCCTGGTGGCTCGGCGGCCCAGCTCCCCAATGACCCGGGAGGAGTTCCTGGAGAAGGCCGCTGCTCTCTTCATCGCCAAGGTCAAGCCGGTGGCCTGAGCGCGCCCCCCGCCCCCGCACACCTTACCTGCCCCTCCTCCACCTACACAGCTGGGGGTCGTCGCCACCTGCTCCTGGGCAGAACACGGGTTTGGGGCCAGGACTGGACAGTCCCTACATGCAGGGGGGTGCAGGGAGTCCTCCCCACACCCACCTTGCAACCTGGAATCATGCCCCAGTCCCTTCAGAGGGGAAGCCAGGGGTCCCAGGAAGTGGGCACGCCCTCCCTGCACCCCCGCAAAGGGCCCTCTCTCCTCAGAGTAATAAAGTCTGTTCTCCAGGCTGACCTGGAGTGTGTGTCTGCTCCTCTGCCGCATCCCCTACCCCATCCCGTGTCTGCTGCCCACCCCGTCCCGTGTGTGCTCCCCCACCCCGTCCCGTGTGTGCTCCCCACCCCGTCCCGGGTCTGCTCCCCCACCCCGTCCTGTGTGTGCTCCCCCACCCCGTCCCGG